AAATCTGATGCGTAACTAAAAGACTTTGCTTTTCTTGAATCATCTCTTTTTATAGAGCTCAGTAAATATTAAACTTAAACAAGAAAAGTTATTTGCTTAGTTTAATATTTTATAAGCATTTCTCTAAGTGTACTTATTCCAATATTTTAACGGATATTTACTTTTTCTGTTTTGCTGGTCTACAAATAATCCTCTTATAAATTATAACTATTCACAATATAATGTTAATAATACTTAATGCAATTATAATTAATATTTAAGTGTCTAATCTACATATGAATGGGGCTTTTTATACCTAAATCAAAAGCCGGACTTATGTTAAAATTAAGTTCAAGCTCTTTGTGTTCCGTATTAAGAATTTTGAATATTATTTATTGTCCAAAAATGTAAATAATTCTAAAAGTAAATATTGTATCATGGATAGAAATAAAGGAGATCTTCCAAAATAGTGCATGACCAAAACTATTCAAATCTGAAGTTCAGCCAACCAGAAACTAGAGTAGAATTAAGTAGAGTAAAGTGATTATAAAGTAACTATAAAATATTAAGTCTGACTTTTAGTTAGAATTAGCTTTTAAATGCTATAAGCACCGTGGGAAGCAGTTGAATGAATAGTCTAAAGAATTGTTTATATAAATTATACAAACATTTATTTTTAAAGAACAATAAAAAATTAATTAAAATATATAAATGATTTTAATGTGCTTAAAATTGCTTTATATTTTTAAAATATATTTCAATTTATATTTTTTTAAATATATTTTTATTTAATTTACATATATTTATATAAAATAAAAATATGAGAAATTTAATATTCCTTTCAATATTTTGTGTTTAAGCACAATTTTTTTTCACTCTAATTAGAGCTATGCAAATCATTCTGAGTCACAAAGCTAAACGCTTCAGCCGAACAGAGAACCACATGCTCTATGTCATATTTGTGCAATACAATTGAAATAATAGCTATTAAACCACATGAACTTACTCATTTACTATGGCCATAAAAAGTATTGGTCTATTGTAAATATATCTTTCTATATGTTTATTCACATGTGGACTCGGTGAGCAGCTGCAGGCAGCATTCAAAATAAATTCATAATGTTAGGGAACACCCTATATGTGCACTTGTTTGAGTAATTTGGTTTGTCGCCTTTGTCACAGCGGCAACAGAAATGAAAATTTTGCATACGGAAATAACAGCAATTGTGTGGCTATCACATTGCAATGACAGCTGCAGCAACAACAAAGTTGTCCGATTGGCATTGGTCGCATTTTGGGGTTTTTTGTTGCTGCTTTTTTTTGGTTGATGACTCGGTTTGGTGTTCGATTTACAACTTTACTTAAATTTTTGTGGCTTGGTCATCAACTCGTTTGGCCACCGAGGCTGCTATTCAAGTGAAATTCATAATATTTTATGGGTTCGCCTTGACTGCCAGCCGAACTTAAAGTAGGGTATTTGCAAGCTTGTCTCTCTCTCTCTGTGTGCGTGTGTGTGGCCTACATATCTTCTGCGATTTAAGTGCACAACTTTAACTTTCTTTTAGCTTTAAGAACTTGCGCCGCAAAATCCTCACAAATTAGATAAACATGTAAATGTTTATTGACACAAAAAGGACACTGACTGACGACCGAGGCTAGGGGCATTAAATCTGAATGTGTAATATGCGTATGAATAATAAGGTATACAAACAGGCACACAAAAAGGGACACAACTGGCAATACAAATTGACATTTTATTTGCCTTTCACCTGATGACAGACGCCAGACGACAGTCTGTCGAGAACCGAGCAGAGAGAGAGAGAGATGAAGAACGAGAGACTGAGTGAGAAAACCGCAGAGGCTTGCGGTCGTTGGCGGAGGCAGAGGCATTGCCATCGCCATTGGCATTACAGATCCGAGTCGGAGACCCGAAAACGCATAATGTAGTAATTGAGTGTTGAGGAAATTCTGTTGGCAACACGTCTAAAGCAATGCGGAACACATAAATATCTTGTGGGCTTAGCGTGTTACAGATACGCTAACAGCTTAAAGATGCCCGCACACTCAGATACAAGCGTATCTTTAAGGACTGCCCTGACTTCAGTTTCGCCAAAGACCCATCATTGGCAAAACATTTAAAGTTCGCCCGCTTTACTTTCAAAATGTGAATGCACTTTTATTATAGTTGTTGTTGTTCGTTGTTTGTTGTTTGTTGTTCGATGTTGTTGTCGTCATACGTGACGAGTTTTTTTTTCGGGCATTGCTCTACTTTTTCTTCGCGCAGCAGCAGGAAGATGAAATTATTTTTGGATTTGTTGCCTTTTGCGTACACACGTAAAATTTTTGTCTTTCAGTTGAAAGTTGAGAGTTTTCTTGTTTATTTATGGAGCTTACATTTCAGATGCCGTCCCGTCCCAAAAGGTGAATGTGGGACGGAAACTGAAATGAGATTTCTTGGCTTAGGCTAATTTAACCAAAAATAAACATACATAAATAGTCCAGGCTGCAAAAATGTACTGAAACAGACATAAAATGAGTATAAAAAATTGGGTCACTTAAAAAAAGATTTTTATTCAATTTAATACGTCAAAAAATACAAAATATGATACTCTGCTTAAATATAATTTGTGCTTTCGGGGTTTTTTTATGGTAAATTAAACGCGCAAATATATTCGCAGTGGCAAATTAAATTTTGTCTCTAAACGAAATTTGCGGGTGTCGAAAAAAGTGCGCATTATATTGGGGCCAATCAGCAAGGCGAGTCACGTGCTCTGAGGGTCAGTCGGGGAGGCTAAAGCCAAGCTAAGCTAAGGAATTCATTCGATTTACATGACAGCAACAACAGTTGAAAATGTCACAGTCTATCAATAGTAAATAAAGCAGCTGCTTCTCGCCATAGAGAAAAATAAAGCAAATCAAAAAATTAATTACGTGTGAGGTCAATGGGCATTGCGTGCCTTTGATTCGCTCTCAAGCGATTCATGCTATACATGTGGTGACCCTTTCGGCTGCGTGTGGTTAAATCAATTGCCAACGGCTGTCAAATTAACCGGCAAAACATAAATAATATAAACAATATTGTTGAGGCTGTTTCATTGATTGGGCCCCAAGTCCATTTAATGAAGTTGATGTGTGGCATATTAAGTATACGCAGCGGGTGGAGAGCTTAGCTGTTCGAACTTTGGCTGCTATTTAAATATGCAATTAAATTCTATGCCACTTAACTATGCCCATTTACAATTACCCAACGGCTCGATGCCGGCTTGGTGCACCCTCAGGCAATCCAAACATACAATTAAGCTTACAGAGATCATGTAATGCCAAGTCTGGGCGCAAGATCGTGCTAAAAATAACGAAGAACGCATTATAAATGCCATGTTAACTCTAGAGATGGGCAGCAACAGCAGCACTTAAAGGTAATTTGCCCCATTATGGCGCAAGGGCCAGCAAATTGCGCATCTAACAAGTTAAGAATAGAATAGGAAAGCGATATGCACTATAAATAGTTAAGAGCACATCCAAATGCAGCAGCAGCAGCAGGAGCATCTAGAGCCAGCTCCATGCGATGATGGCCCATAAACGATGAGGAGCATTTCTGCTGCTTCTGCTGCTTCTGCTGCTGCTGCTGATTGACATAAAGAGCAAGTGGAGTCATAAAAGAAGTTGCTGCCAGCAGATGAATCAACATTCCAAGCGGTCAACGTACCACGTACCAAAGCATGCCACAGCCAGCCAGGATGATGATGATGTTGCCACAGCATCTTCAACGGCAGCAGCCATAAAGACAAAGACAGTGGGCAATGAATGCATTGAAAGCGGCTGCTTAGCCCAACCAAAAACTCAAACAGAACAGGCCAAGGCACAAGATGCCAGAACGTAACATTAAAATAAACGCGCTCAGATAAATCTTCAGGTTCTGCTGCTTGCCACGCCGCTCAGTCGGCAGCCCCTGCAGGAAGAAACTGCCTGTCCAAGTTCAGCGAAAATGCAATCAAACGCGTGCACTGAAAAAAAAATATATAAATAAATTATATATGAAGCAATTTTGTTTAATCGAGGATAAATTTAATAATTTAACCATTTAAATTTAATTAAAAAATATTTAATTATGTTAAAGTTTGATAATCGTCAATTTTTATATTTAATGCATTTATTTATTTTTAAATATACTTTTTAAAATTTTTTAATTTTTTAATTTTTTAAAATCCGCAAATAATCTAGTTTAGCTTTTAATAACTTTTATTTACAAAATATTTACAATTTGCCAACTTTTGTGTATCAAAAATAATTTCATAACTCGCAAACAAAACTTGCTAAAATGAAATATAAATCTTTTTCTCAGTGTATAAGTGTGTAAACATGTTGGTGTTTGCGTACGTGATGTCCAGCACTGGTCAGTTTTCAAACCCAATCCAATGCGAGTGTCCAAGTGTCCAACGAGGCCATCTGCAAAATGCACGCATCGCACATCGCACATCCGTGAAATTCCTGCGCAGCTCTCGTGCTATGCATTTACGTTGACGTTGCAATTACAACTTGCGGCGGCAGCAACGGCAACAATGTGCGCCAAGAGGCAGTTAGTCGAGGCCCTTTCTTTGCTTTCAGTTGCGTTCTCACGACCAAAGCCAGCTGCTGCCCGCCTGCCTGCCCCTACTTTAGTCTGACCGTCTGCTCCAGCTGCCTGTTTACTGTGTGATTATTACAAGCAGCATGAAAATAACAGGCTCTTGCTTAGAACCACAGCAAACGTTGACTATTCGCTCAGATCAGTCAGTCAGTCAGTCAGTCAGACAGACAGCAGGGCCAAAGTAAGTTACTTAAGAGCTTGGCAACTTAATGCCATGGCGGCTTCATTATGGCCCAGACACAAAGCCAAACAGCTCAAGACCACTCTAAACCTTTTAAATTGCCAAGTGGCATTTCCACTGCCCACTGGCCACTAGCCACTGACCACCGATTGTCACATTACCATGAATTAACAAAAATATGCTTAATTACCATCAAGTGAAAACACCATCATATACAGAATTCTATATCTACCTATTATATTATTAATCCTAGGATGATAAGTCAAGTTATTTCACATCCCGAGTAGTACATTCAACGTTTTGTTTTGCGACTAGTTAATTATAGCGCACGGAGTTGGGTTTGTTTAGCTCTCCCCGTCGAAGCATACTAAACTCAAGTCCCTTAGCATTCCCAAAACGAGTAATTTGACCAATTTGATATTCAGCCGGGCCGGGACCCGATTTTTTAAATGCTGGCATTGCTGGTTTTCGTCCAAAGGAATATTGTGGACCGCGACGCATGCGCGCATCGCAGTTTAAATATCCAAATGTGCTAGGCAGCGTATAAGCCGCCGGCCCAGGTCCTAAATGCGAGTAATTCATAGTGATTATTAGAAGAAAAACTCGAACTCTTCTCTTACCTGTTGGTCTCGGCATAATATCCTAATCACTTTAATCAAAGGAAAATCCAAGGGATGAAAAAATATACGTCTTTTGTTTTAAAAATTTAGGTCCCTAGACTCTACTTGTTGTGGGAAACAAATACGAATGCAGCAATGACGAACAAACGCCTAGATTCAGGGACTACGCAACGATACAAAAAGCAAGGCTCAACTGTTTTTTCAAAAATACTAAATGCAAAATAATACAGAAATTTGAGTTACAATCACACTACAATTTTCGTTTTAGCTATAAATCTAGTTTCCCTTTTCCAAAACGTCTTTTTTTTCTACAGAAATTTTAGAAGTGTTCTTACAGATAATTTCTTTAACAGTACATGAGTTAATGTGACTTTTTTTGTTGGAAAGATCTAAATATTTGCACGGCTTGCTATATCAAAGCAATTATGTTTTATTATTAATATTTATATTGTAAATATATTTTATATTTTTGTTTTTTTTTTTTTATCTTAGTCATATAGAAAAGTCTTCAAATTTGGAGTATTTTTATTAAATATGAAAAAAATTTTAAGCAGTTGCTTAATTTTGGCTAGTTCAGCTGATTTTTCATAAAATAAATAAAATATTTAAATCCGATTTATATGTTATATTTTTCACATAAAAAAAAGTAAAAAAAAAAAATAAAAATCAGTGTTGATAAATATGTTTTAATTTTTATGTTATGATTAATTATTTTTGGAGTAATTTATTTTTTAACAAGGGCTGAGGAAGCGTTGGCGAAAAAATAAAATTAATTTTAATATTTTTAAAAAATGTATAAAATCTTGTATTAAGTTTTGTATTAATATTTCATTCGCGCATCACTCTTCCGGTTCGCATACATATTTATATTGAATGAAAGCTCTTACTCTGTTCTAGCTCAAATATATCTCTTTATATAAACATAACTAATCGATGGATTGATGTAGTTCGCATATTATTTAGCTGTTTATAGATAGAAAGACACATGATTATTCACACAGATAAGCAGCTTCTGTCGTTGACCGGCGGCAATCAACACTTGGGCTACATAAATAAATAATAAAGCACACGCTCATTTATTATTAACACCTAGGGCGTAAAGAAAAACATTAATTAAGTTGAATGCACACGCCACGCTAATTAATATTTAATTTGTTTCAAATTGTACAACAATTTGTGCATTGTTCTCAGCGGCAGATGAGCTGCTCATCCCGCCGCTTAGCATTCCCTCAGCAAATTCCAGACACTCACTCGCTCACTCACTCATTCATTCAGTCAGTCATTCATATAATTTTACTAATACTGAAAACGCATTCTGACAAGTGAATCTGCCTGACAAATTGTGTTCTGTTCATTAATCTAAATAATGTCAACTTTTTGCCTCGCCTGCTATTTGTGGCACTCGGGGAAATCCCCGAACACCTGCACAGCAGCAACTGAATTGAAATAGGTGCCATTTTTTGTGACAACCAAATTACAATCTCAAATTTATGCGTACCTCCATGTAGCTATCTTCTTTTATCTTTTATATTTTTGCTTTGCTTTTTTTACATTTTTCAAACAACTCAACAACGTTCCTCAATTTGTCAGCAAATATTGTAGTCTGTATTTTTTTTCGTTTTATATTATTGAAGAAGTGATATGATTTTTGTGTATTTCATAAATAACTAGGCGGTAGTCTCTGTACTTAAATATTTAAAGCAATGGGACATAGAATTTATAAAGTTACCCATTAAAATTATATATATCTATAGTATTATATATAGATTATATTTTAAGTTAAATTGTATATGGATATAAAATTATAGATAGGTTTTTTCTATGTATACAATTTTAATCAATCCTTAAATAAATAGCTAAAAACAGCGAAAATTCGACTCTAATTCAAACATAAAATAATTGAACAGTTTTATATAAAATTATATTTTATACAAACACAAATGCTTCTGGCTGTGACTTTAGTAACTTATATATACTATTCAAATGTTCATAGGGTATATAAAAACACAATGTCTCCGTTAAGTTTTAGCACTTTGTAAAAGGCGACGTCAATTTTCGCACATTATTTTAAGAACCAGTAAAATTTTGTATGACAAAGTTTAAAATGTGTTAAAAATAATACAAAAGTCTGCCTTAAGCCTGCCTTATTAGACTTATATAAATTGAGCTTTAATTTCCACGAAATTTTTTAATTTGAGCTTTGTCATAAATATAAATAATCTAAATTTAAATGGAACCCAATTTGCTAATTAAAAACGAAAAAACAGAAAAATTAAAGCAAGACTTGTGCTTTCAACCGTTTTATTTTACATTCTCGGCTTTAATTGAAATTTTAAAATAATATATATATATCACATAAATTTTTTAAAAGTTCATTTATATAAAATTATTTATTTTCTAAAAATAATTGGAATTTAATTAGTTTATTGCAAACAACTAATAAGCAAAACTTTGATTTGTGTAAAAAAACTTTGTGTAGTATAAAAAATGCTTTTGAAATGGACTTTTTTATGCCACGTAGAGCATTTTAATAATTGAAAATGAGTTAATTGCATATTTAAATAGCTCAATACATATATTGATTGAAAGATTAGTTTTTTAAAGCGCTTGCTTTTTTAATTAAACGTTTTAGCTGATCCCTTACCACTTTGTCACTCCAACTTTGAGCAGAAAACTTTAATTCCTTTAGCTGTCAATTTGTTTTTTATGCTCAAAGTTTGCCTGCATAAATTAAGAGAGCAAAAAATGCAGAAAAGTTTTGAAAACTTGCTGCACTTGCATAAAAATGATGCCTGGCTGGGGCTGGCACTCAAGACTTGGCGCGTGGCATATGGCCAAAGGGTTGAGAGCAAGACCGAAAGAAAAATCTCACCTAGAATTAATATTTTTTTTTTGTATTTGCAATTGCAGCAACACGATGCATACAGACGGGCATGTGGAGTCAACGCAGCTGAGGCTCAGCCTCGATTTGGGTATTTCCAATCAACAGCCAGCTGAGGGCATCGGAATGGCAACAGATCTGCAAATGCCTGGTAAATATTGCCAAAAAAATAGCCAACAGCGCCGGGGACGACGACGACGTGGCGCAGCTGAGAGTGCCAAGTGGCAAGCAGCTGGTGGATTCTCTGGCATTTTTTGTTGGTCCATCAATTTGGCCATTCTGATTTGGCTAGCACATTGCACGAATGCCGGTAAGTGTTCTCCTCTTGCAATACTAATAAAATTTCCGTTATGAGTTAAATGATTTGACATGCGACGAGACATGGCAACGTAACATGACTACGAGACATGTGTTTCCCTACAATACGTACTCCCACACAGCCCCACACACACACACACACACAAACCTCAATTAAAAGCACATCAATAACACTTGCCCTCGGTGACCCTCGACTTGCCCTAGTTGCTCCATTTCCTATTGCCTGGCAATGCAATTGGCACTTTGCTTGGCAGCTGGCTTGAGGGTTGGGTGATTTTGATTTTGATTTATTTTACAATTTAGCAGCAGCAGCAGCCAACAAGAAATATGCTAAGCTCTGACTGTGACTGAAGAGCTAAGCCAGGGCTCCTGCCTGCCTGTTCTCCTTTCCCTTACAATTTATGTCTTGGTGTTTTTTCTTGCTATACTCTGTTCCCAGTGGGCTCAAGGAGTATATGCGGCTCTTTGAACTGTAGTCAGACTGTGAGCCATGCCCACTAGGAAAGACGTATCTATAGTTCAAGCAGTTTGAGCGCGAGAGTTACAAATTTAGTTATATTTAGATCTGTATTTCTTTGTATATACCCCATATTTGAAGCCAAAAACAGAGTGTGCCGCACAATCTGTTGTCCTGACTGCAAAACTTCTTGTATTTCTTTTAGTTTCGTTTTAGAGGTCAAGAGTTCAATTTGATTTTACTGACTGCAAAATTGTGTAAAAATGTTTTTACTCTTAATGCAGCTTTGTCACATTTAGATAATCGGAGCATTTTCCAGCTCCAGATGCATTTGATATGTTAAATGTTTGATGCATTTAAGGATTGTGAAATAGATAACTCGACATAAAACTCAGAACTTTGACTTAATTTATTACAAATAAAACTCATAATAAATTATGATTATTTTAAATTTGTATTCTTCATTCTGCTGGAAATCAGCTTGAAAGATTTATTTGCCTGGCTTCGCAATCTTAAAGTTTTTCCATTTAAGCAAACATTTCGTTCAGTTGCCTCTTCATTTGCCTGTCAAACCCATTCTCTGGATAGTTCATTAGAGCATTCGGATTACCTAGAGGCATTCTGTTATCTCATCCGCTTCAAAGCAGGCAACACAATATCGCATCATGCAGCATGCCCCATGGCAAATAAATAAAATGGCAAAATGTAAACCAAAATGAACCTGTCGCTGTCTGCAGTTTAGTAGCCGAAATTAACACTAGCTTTACATTAACTTTGGCAGCTCCCAAGTTACGCCCGCCCACAGTCGTTTTTCAGCTAGACGTATGTCGATGTCGGTGTATATATCTGCATATATATCCAGGGCAACCGTTTTCACAGCCAAAATAAACGCCAGGCAACGGCAACAGCAACGGCGGCTCCCTCACAAAATTTCGGCCGCCGAAAATTTCCCTGAGCGCAAATTTGAAAAGCGCTTTAAATGCTAAGCTGCATTTAGGCGTTTGTCCCGTCACACCCACACACACACACTATCCCATGCTTATGCTTGTTTCCTTTGTGTGTTTACCAGCTGTTTTTAAACATTTTTGCTGGCGTTGCTGCTGCTGTTGTTGGTTCATTTTTTTTTTGTTAGCCCGTCTCGCAACCGCCAAATGAGGCGACCCCACAGAGAGGAGGCTGTGGCAAGTACTGGCACTCGCGGAAGTGGCTGTTGCGGTTTATTTTTGCACATGTGTTTGCCATGCAGCCGTGGCAGCCACTGTAATGCTGCAATTTGGGCGCAACACTCTGCAATTTGTGTGTGTTCAAGTTCAGCATTGTTAAAAGTTCAGCTTTGCCACAGGCCACATCAGAACCCAGCGGCCTAGCGATATAATTTTTAAACAGCAAAAAACGACTTGGCAAATCTCATTAAATTACAGCAAATCATAGCTGGGCTTAATGCGTTTCTATGCGAGCTCGTTTGTGACCCAATTGCTTTGGGAACGCTGAAACATTTGTTTTGCTCTGCTCTGAAATAAAAGAAAGAGAAGAAGAGCTTATTGGCTTTAAACTCTGCCTATTTATGTGTCTATAAATATATCTATATCTATATCTAATTCTTAATTTATGTCTATATCTATATTTAAATATATATCTATATCTATATCTAGCTCAATCTGAAAACAGAGCATCAATCAGTCGTTCCCTTCGGCATGCTCCTGACATGTATTTTTTCCTTCCCATTTTTCTGGTCAAACGTCACGAAATGAATTTTAATTTTTTATAGCGCAACCTTTTTAATTTTCTATTAAGCGGTTCGCAAACACAAAGTCTTTTTTATAAGGCCGAGTCGTAAAAATTAGAAATCTTGCCAGTTAAAACTGACCAGGAAGGCTTCTAGCCAAAGAGCTGCCATTTACAGTAGGCCAAAGGACCATCAAACGTTTCATACAAATTATAAAACAAATTTTGAATACTCTTACTTGATAAATATTTATAAAAAATAGATTTCTTATAAATTAAAATCTTTTAAATGTAGCTTAATAAATATTAAAAGTTGTCTTAATTAATTTTTTTTAATTTGAAATTTTTATTTATTTTTATTTTTATTATAATGTAAAATTTAATATACAATTAATATATTACATTTTTTCTAATTTTTTCTAAACTCCTAAGCCCTCTTCACTTGAGTAATATTTATATAAAGAAACTTATATAGTATATAAAATATTTTAATTTATAAATTCCTGCTCGTTAGCTGCTTAAATATCCTTGTTTGAAAACAGAATACACAAGCTAAGCGCGTTGATTGTTCTTTTAGAATTTGAACGGCAATTTGATGTACCTGACACGAACATAAACAACAAAAAAAGGTATTTGAAATTGCGTAAAAAGGAGCACAGCAACCAAATGCAAAGAGAACAATAGAATAAAAGTCAAGCCATGAAAAGTGCATTTAAATTGATCACAAGGGAGAAAAGGGAAAAGGTTGGGTAACTGTCGCAATGGGAGATAAAGTCAAATCAAATACACGTAGCAAGCTGAAAATATGCAAAGTGCAATAACAAACCGAAGTAATCCGAAAAACACACACACACAACGGCATACAGCACAATAGTCGAGGTGCGACAGCAAAGTGAAACAAAATAAAAAAAACAGAAAACACAGCTTCCTAGCTCATTTAGAATATTAGATACTCTAGCTGATACAGAAATGAAACTGGCTGGAAATTTTGAAATGATGAAATTAGTTATTCAAAATATTTTAAGAACCTTAACTTAAACTTTGAAACTGAAGACAAAGAACGAGCTATAGAAATTCCTTATTTAAGGAGTTGTAAATGTGGGGGAGTTTATTTGTGGGGGAGTATATGTGATTTCTGTGATATATTTATCTCATATAATTTAATTTAAAGCTAGCTCATAGATGACTGTGTCATTAGAAATGTACACAGATACATATATAGCTCGCATCTCAATGTCGAGTCTTCTCTCGCCGTTTGGCAAGCATAAGAGCTTAGAACTTTCATAGGCAAGTGAACTTGATAAGTCTACAGTATTTATCATCCATATTTAAGTGCGTTACATATTGCATATATCAATCACGCTACCCCTTTTAGCCAGTTCACGTTGCATATCGACAGCAGTTAAAAATGTAGAACAATCTTGCAAATTTTAAGCACATTTCAGCTGCTTGTGAAGAAGTCGTCAGCAGTGCAAAACCGATTTGCATATTTTTACACAAACACACACACGCACATACCCACACACACACACACACGCATAACTAGTACAGTTGTGCAAACAATACAGCCACACATAACTTGCATACAATAAATCTTGTGACGTCTCAAGAGAAAGACGTCACGTAGCACACAAAAATGGTGGAACTTACTTTTCCTGTTTCCTGCCCCACAAGTGCCTTGTTGTTGTTCCTGTGCGCTGTTTGTGTGTGTCTGGTGAAAATCTTTTCAGTCGCTGATAGTTGGCAGCCACAGCAAACCATAAGGCAGCCAAGTTCGTTGAGGTCTTGCCTGCTGCTGTTGCTGCTATTGATGTTGCCGTTGCTGCTGCTGCTGCTGCATCCTTTGCACCCGCCACAGATTGACGAAGAAAAATTGTAGCTAGTTCACATGAAAATTGTCAAGTAAACGAGTGCTACTATTACCAGAATGAAAACGAAAATGAAAACGAAAATGAAAAGAAAATCGAGCTCGTCGTGCATGGAGAATATTATCGCGTGAGTCTGTCACACTGAGCGCTTATTCATAATGAGCCACAGGCTGGCTGCAAGCCGGAGTCTGGATTTGATATTCATGCGGTGTAGCATCGAGCTTTGAAAGAACCTGCCAACGCCTCAGTTGGCCAAAGTTTAGCTGTAATAGTCACCATCAGCTTTACGCGGATTACCCAAATCGAACCAAGCGACCTGTTTGGGAGGTCAAAAAGTTCGCAAGATTTATAGGTATTGGCTGGAATTAAATTCTGATTATATATATTTAAAGTTACCTAACTTTTATGTTTGCGTTTGGTATTAATAATTTGCTAAAGAAAACAGTGAGTTTATTAGTTGCATATGATGGAAATGCGGAAAAGCAATTAAACTTTATATTAATTTTATTAGAAATAAAAACAAAAAAAATATTTTGATGTGAGTAGAATAAAGAGATGCACAAAAAATTAAATTTAAAACATTGAAGTAATCAAAATAATACAAATATAAAATAATTTTATGTTAAATATAATGATATTTAAAAATAAAATAAAATAAATTCTAAAGAGTTTTGTAGCTTCAATATTTAAATGGCTTAAGTTTGTATATTTCAACTAATAACAGTTTAAATAATTTAAATATATAATAAATATTTAAATAAAATTCATATTAAAATATTATTTGTTTTTATATAATTTAATTGTTTTTAAATTCGTTTGCCAGAAAATAAACGATAAACCAGGCATAAATTGTAAATACTTCAAATCGAATATTTAATATATGCTTGAGACATGCGGCAAATGTGTCAAATTCTAATCAATTTGCATAGCATTCTTATTGTA